TTCAGCATGCCAAAAAATGGGTCATCCCTCCAGATTGTCTCCACAATGAAATCACTTTTGGTGTCAGTGATAAAATCACACCAAGCCAGGCCAGCAATGGCTGATTGACCTTGAACTTGTGTATAGTATTTGTGTAACATTTTCAGATGTGCTTTTCCATTGGCAAGTCAGACATATAGAACATGGGCAATGGATTCAAGGCTGGGACACCACTTCCACCATCTTCTGTGGGGTCAACCACTTCACCATCAGGACTAGCTCCAAGGTGGGAGCGTTAGAATGGACCATCAAACCACAGGGCAAGATGTTGACTTGAAACTTTCTGCATACTTTGTGAGGACCTCAGGCTCCAGTGCAAGCCCATTCTTCATGGCCTCTGTTTGGCATACTCCCTTTAATATGTGCAAAGACAGAGCCTGAGCAGTTGAGTGTCCACCACCATACTTCATAGTGGGGATGGGGTACTTTTCTGCATGACTATCTTTGCCAAAAACATTTTGGTATCATCTGATTGTAGAACACAGTCCTACTGAAAGTTGGAGCTTGAGTTTGTTGGTCTTTGACAGCAGAGACTTTCATCATCACTGCTGTTTTCTCTGGTCTTTCTCATAGTGATGGATGACTGAGGGAATCTGGCCTGTGTTTAATCTCATTTATATTCCCCAGTGAATCAGGAAGTCATGGCTGACCACTTAAGTGTTCCTAAACGGTCAAGTGAACTTTAAAACATAAAATATTAATGGAAATATGCTTCAGTTAGATTTGACTCACAAGAGTTTCTAGGGGTGCCAACAACTGTGGCACACACAGATTTAAGGAAAATATTTATTTCATGATAAGATTTAGTTTACCTTAAATAAAGGTTAGTTTGATGCTAATATTTTGAATAAAGGTTAAAAGGATAATTTTTTTTTTCAGCTCATTTCACTGAGGGTGCCAGTATTTGTGGAGGGCACTGTAGGAGGGAAACTTAAGTTCAAACATTAGAATATATTACCATTTAACATATTACATTTTTAATTGTATTACTGATATTCTTCCATAATTAGCAGTGCATCAGTGTTTTTCTCTTCATTACATTTTATACCTTGATCTTCAGGTTAAAACGATGCAATAGCAGTTCAGTTATATGTCGCTGCTGTCGGAAGAAAACCTTGTATCTCCATTATTGACATTTTTCAGGTTTTCACAGAATTTGTTGCCTGTTGTTCTTTACATTGTGTGTAAATTTCATGATGAATGGATCAAAAGAAACGACCCAAAATTACTTGGAAAAAAGTCTGGTTCCATTGACTTGCATTAAAAGTAAAGTATGGTTTTTCCTTCTCCTGTAAAGTTACATTTTTGGAGATACGAGGTTTTCTCCTGACAACAGTGATATGTACACATGTTCCATTTGTATTGAAGAAGATTATGACCCGGTTTAGTGTCAAGCTGTAACAGAGAATGAGAGTGAGCTCTCTTTCCAGTCCTGCTGTCAGACCAAACACCAGACATTGCTGTAACCAAGAAACCTGTACAGCTTTATTTAAGTTGTTAACTGCTGTGGAGAAATGTAGCTTTAGGGGCAAGCTGGTACGGGACGGCAGGGAGGCGGACCCAAGTGCAAAAATGAAAACCTGTGAGAAAGGGTTTAAGTTTCATTGAGGCAATGGAGTGTGAATTTGGCACGTTGGAGGTCAGGTGACCCAGAGCCAGGCTCAAACTGCCGATGTACTGATTTGCGGTGCATGGAGTGACGGCTGCACTACCAGGTAGCACAGGTGACACTGGTAAAAACATCCCCAGGAAGGGAAAAGAGAAAGGCCGGAAAAGGGGCAAACAAAGGAAACGCTGAAAGCAGCTCAAACAAAGGCTGAACTAGAAATGTGAAATAAAAGATAATGAGAAAACAAAAACACTTCCTCTGTAATTATGAGGGGAAGGCAGACTTTATGTTTCACTTGTTTGCTCTTAGTGGTTTATACGGCTTGGAGCTGTTCGTAGCTCAAGGCTTCTTGTGTTTTTTTTTTAAATTTATTTTTTAAGTAGTTTTGGGGCAATTACACTCGATTGTTTTTTCCAGGCCTCTTTTCTTTTCTCTTTGTTTAAATACCCACCTGGGCTAAGTACCATACCGGTCACCCCTCTACAAAGATGTGACAAAGGGCTGCTGTTTGCCACAGCCTTAAGTAGAGGAGTCCACAGGTGTGCCAGGTTGGGCCTAATCAGCCCGAGGGCTTCTGGGAATTGGAGTTCCTTGAAGTTATGGCACTTTGCCACCGTTGCCCTCTGTTGGCAGCTGGTGGTGAAGTGCCATAACTTCAAGGAACTCCAATTCCCAGAAGCCCTCGGGCTGATTAGGCCCAACCTGGCACAACTAGTTTTAAACTAATCTGAACCCTAAAACAAAAATTGCAATAGCTTTATTCATGGATGACTCCATATACTGGGCTTTCTTTAAGTCAGGCTATACTCTGTTGTATTATTTGAGATTATTTTCATCTATTTTATTTATTTTTTTCTAACTCTTTGGCCTTGCAAAAGCACTGTTTTGATTGGGAGCTTGTGTATTGTATTATTTGGCCGCCAATATACATTTAAAGGCTTCCCATTGAACTGCAGGAGAGGTCTGTGTAGTGTTCAAAATAAATATAGATCCATATTGACCTCAAGAGAAGACAAAGTTTGGATCATTAAGCCATATTGTGTCAAACTGCCTTGAAAACATTTTAGTCCCTACAAAGTCAACAGAAAATGGTGCATGGTCAGATATGATTATACTATAGTGGGACCATTCTATAAAATAACATAACAGGAATTTTGAGATATAATCTGTAAATCCGAGAATCTATATTATAATTGGAAGAGTGGCCTGAGAAATCTCTCTTATATGGGTTCAGTGTACTCCAAATATCACACAGATTAAGGTCACTCATTAATTTAAATCAAATAATTTTCCTAGTATGACCATCCTGGGTCCTATCCTGACCTGAGGAGTGATCCATGACTGTATTTAACATGCGATTAAATTCTCCGCCCACAGTAATATTGCCTCTGAGAGATGATATAGTTAAGAACAAATAGCAGCTCATAGGTGTTTGGTACATAGACATTAATAAAGTTAGATATTATGCAGAAAAGTCCCCTGAATCATCAAAGACCTACCACCAGAATCTGTAAAGGCTTTATTCACCTGAAAGTGTACAGATTTGGGGAATAAGCACAGCCGCTCCTCCTGAGTGAGCAGAGTAAGGTGCTGTTATAACCTGACCTCGCCACCTCTGTCTCACTTTAAGAATTTCACAATTTAGCAGATGGGTTTCCGTCAGCAATACTGTTTTAGCTTGTAGTTGTTTAATTCCAGTCATTATTTGTTTAAATTCAAACCATTTTCCCAGATCCCCTAACAATTCAAGTCTATATCTAAACAAGATTGCTAACATCCATTGAAAGTACTGTATTTGTGTATGGCTGATGCTACTGTATTTGACATAAAATTAATAAGATTCTGTTTTTTCAGTCCACAACTTCTAACCTGTTACCTTTTAAAGGGCTCAATAAATTAACAGGTATATATGATCAAAAGTATCAATGATCACTTTATTTTTAGGTTTAGATAGCTGTAAAATTCTCAGTAGTTGTCACGCCTCCTGTCAAGGACGCCTCCTCCACCTGTTCCTTTTTCCTCAGATCACTTGAGTCCTTGAACGGCCCAGAGGACTCCAACTCCCATGAATCAGTGGGAGACCACTCGACTCTCCATTGCCATCCACCAGATTTCTGTATTTCTGACCTGACCTTTGCTGGATTTTGTCAGAGACTTTGGTTTTTGAACTCGGACTATTTTTTTGCTACTCTCTGGATGTCCCGTTTGTTTTGGTTCTCTTGCTCTCTGGTTCTGACCCTAGCCTGTTCTGACTACGCCCTCTGTACCTTCACCAAAACCTCAAGTAAACTTCAGCCTTGTCCTTTTATCTGCGAGCGTCTGATCTGTGTTGACATCGTAACAGTAGTTTTGGCACATGCTTTCCCTGTAGAAACTGTCCCATGTAGTTTGACATTTTACCACTGAGACTTTGTAAGGAAAACATAAATAAACATGTCCTGGTTTCCGTTTAAACAGTGTGCCATATTTCGTCCGGCAGCAGGTCTGGGAAGAGCAACTACATTGAATGCATCACATTGACAGAGCCAATAAAATGCTAATTCAAGTTGCACACACTATAAATTTTATGGAATAAAATTATGTTTATCTTAAAGACTGTAGAAGTATTTCCTTTCTTCAGCAAATTTCACCTACTGTGTCTTTCTGTGGTCTCTATAAGTAATATATCTATATTTAATATAACATTGTAATAGCAAAATGTTGAGTGGCATGTTGTAGTGCTCAGAGAAATGGAACAGTGCTGGAAATCGCTCAGGTGTTTGCACCTTCAACTGAAATATCGGTTAATAATTTATATATATGTGCAGAACGTGTGGTGTGCAGTTGGCTTAAAAACAACTCTGTTTTCCATGTAATGCTTATTAGGTTGTAGTACGCTGGGAATTTAATGTGTTAACTAAGTATGATTGTTGTATGTGTAATACAGTGTGTGGTTTTTGTTGCAGTCCAATAATGCCCATGATTCTCCTAGTAAATATAAGGGAGTTTGGGGTGACTGAGAATTCATTGCACTGTCCACCTAATCATAAGGATTTTTGAGATGATAAAGAAGAATCAAAATTTTAGCTATGTTGCATGTTACAGTTAAATAAAAATAAAGTTCAATTCCATTCCACTGTGTTTTATTTGTATGGCATTTTTTTATGACAGACACAAAGGTAGATTGGGGAATTTGTTCTACTGTACAAGATGGAGACTTCGAAGTGCAGTTCGAGTACAAGCAGGACAAGATTACATTTTCTGCAGTTTCATTTAAGCATGCTTTTCCTGCTTTCCCTAAAAACATATTCTAAAACTGCTTAAAATAATAATAATTATAAAAACATAAAACCTAATCCTCATTCTATAAAATTTCATCAAAAAAGACAATGCATTTATGGCATTTTGGCAGACACTCTTACCCAGAGTGACTTACAATTTGATCAGTTTACACAGGTAGGTGAAGGTAGTGTTAGGAGTCTTGCCCAAGGACTCTTATTGGTATAGTATAGGTATAATGTATTGTATAGTGTTTACCCAGGCGAGGATTGAACCCCACACTGTAGAAGGCAGAACCAAACCACAATGCAAAGTCTTTCAAATATTTAAACATTCACAGTTCTTTATACAATCAATTAATCGCACATACTACACAGTCCTTACAGACATGTCTTTCACAGAGAAAACTGAACATTTTTTGTTTTTGTTTCCTTAATAGGAGCCCTCGGTCTTCGTTTAAGTCTTTGTCTTAGCTTTTTTGTAGTATCCAGTGAAGTCTCACTTTTTTCTGTGGCTGAAAATAGAATTGAAATGAATGTATTAGTCAAAATATCTGCCACACTATGAGTGTATTTGTTTTTTAAGACCATGCATTCTGTTAAACAGGATTTATTCTATATTAAGTACACAAACTCTGACATCATCACTAGCTCAGTCATGTCAGCATGTACTGCACCAGTATATCATCACATAATGGATCTCAAAACTATGAATATAACTCTATATTAAAGAGTGCTGCAGACAGGAATGAGGGTCTGTAGAGAGAAAACTGCATAACAAACTCTATAAAAAGTTGTTTCTTCTTCTTCTTCTTTTTCATGAGACAATAAGCAATAAAAAAACTGAAGAATCCTGTATAAACTGGTACAGTATGCAGAATACTATATGTACTGGTACAGTATTCAGAATCCTGTATATACTGGTACAGTATGCAGAATACTATTTATACATACTGGTACATTATTCAGAATACTGTAAATACTAGTACAGTATTCAGAATACTGTATATACTGGTACAGTATGCAGAATCCTGTATATACCGATACAGAATATGCAGTGTTCTGCATACTGGTACATACTTTATGTACTGGTGTAGTATGCAGAATACTGAGCATATCAATACAGTACGCAATGGAACTGTACTTAAGTGAAGCATTTCACTAAATCTTTCATTTTTCATTGAAAAAAACACTTACTGGAAGCTGACGAATATCCTCCCATAGATGAAGCTGTAGAAGAAGACAATAAGAAAGCGAGCATGATCAGAGAAATTCATCAGAGAAATTGTTAGAGGAATGGTCTGTTATTTTATCTTCAACCAAATTTAGTGCTGTAAAAATATTTGCATTCTTTTAGTGCAGAGCTACAAAAGCTGCTGAACCACTTTCTTCTAATCTGTTTTCTTACCTCTTTGCTTTCTCCTGCATATCATCCAGATGACGGCCACCGTCACACACACCAAGACCAGAGCTGCAAACACAGAGCCAAGAATGGGCCCGATGGGCTCCCCTGGATCAAAATCTGAAACACATCATTTAAGAAAGTGATAAAAAGCTCAGAGTCAGCTGAGGAATTTTCTGTGTCACTCTGAGATTCAGTACCCAAATGGATGTCTAGCTTGTTGTCCAGGCTGAGGTGGGTGACTGTACAAGTGTAGCTGTGCTTCTTCAGCTCCTCTTCACTGAGCTCCAGGTTCTTCTTCATCTGGTAGGTCCCGTCTACGTTGGGCAGCAGGTCTCCTCCAGTGATCAGGTGGTCAGGAACTGGCTGTCCGTCTCTGAGGATGGTCAGGTTGATGTGACGGGGGTAGAAACCAGTGGCCAGGCAGGTCACCCCATCCCACCCAGACACTGAGTGACGTTTCTGGATCAGCCTCACTCTGGGCTTCACTGCAGGAGAAGAACATGAACCCCACATCAGAGAAGACATCATGTTTGGATATGTAGCTACACTTAAATGTACAATCCCATTTCCAAAAAAGTTGGGACGCTGAGCAAAAGTTAAATGAAAATAGAATTCAATTATGTCCAAATCATGTAAACTCCAACTGAAAATAGCGCAATGACAACATATCATATTTTGAAACTGTGAAATATTATTGTTTTTTGAAAAACGTATGCTCATTTTGAATTTGATGCCAACAATATATTTTAATACTACACAGCCATGCTGCTGTAATATGTGAAGAATGTGGTTTGACATTGTCTTGCTGAAATAATCAAGGCCTTCCCTGAAAATGACGTCGTCTGGATGGCAGCATATGTTGCTCCAAAACATGTATATATCATTTAGCATTAATGGTGCCTTCGCAGATGTGTAAGTCACCCATGCCATGCACACTAATGCACCCCCTATACCATCACGGATGCTGGCTTTTGAACGGTATGCTGATAACAAGCCGGATGGTCCCTCTCCTCTTTAGCCTGGAGGGTGTGACGTCTATGATTTCCAAAAAGAATTTCAAATTTTGATTTGTCCGAATGCAGGACACTTTTCCACTTCCCCTCAGTCCATCTTCAATGAGCTCGGGCCCAGAGAAGGCAGCGGCGTTTCTGAATCCTGTGTATATATGGTTTCTTTATTGCATGGTAGAGTTTCAATTTGCATTTGTGGATGCAGTGATGAACTGTTTTCACAGACAGTGGTTTTCAGAAGTGTTTCAGAGCCCATGCAGTGATTTCCACTACAGAATCGTGTCTGTTTTTATTGCAGTGCTGCAGATCACGGCCAGCAAATAGTGGATTTTGGCCTTGTCCCTTACATACAGAGATTTCTCCAGATTCTCTGAATCTTTTAATGATATTATGTACTGTAGATGATGAAGTTCTTTGCTATTTTACATTGAGAAATGTTATTTCTGTATTGTTGTATTTGCCCCTGCAGTCTTTCATAGAGTGGTGAACCCCTCCTCATCTTTAGTTCTGAAAGACTCCGCCTCTCTGAGATGCTTTTTATACCCAATCATGTTACTGACCTGTTGCCAATTATCCTAATTAGTTGTGAGATGTTCCACCATGTGTGTTTTTAGTATTAAACAACTTTTGTTGCCCCTTGTCCCAACTTTTTTTTTTAAATGTGTTACTGGCATCAAATTGGCCATATATTTAAAAAAAAACAAAAAAAACAATACAATTGCTCAGTTTTAACATTTGATATGTTGTCTTTGTACTATTTTCAATTAAATATAGGGTTTAAATGATTTGCACATCAGTGCATTCTGTTTTTATTTACATGTTGCACCGTGTCCGAATCTTTTTGAAAATGGGGTTGTAAATGTAGTTGATCCACCACCGAGAGATGATGGTGTCCAAAGTTTGTTTCTCTAGTTTTCATCACACACTTTCCTAAAACTGTCAAGTTGTTCAGTAATTTGTAAGAGACTTGCTTATGTGACCCAGCTTAAAATTAAGGACGGAACACCATTACGATGCTTAAATAACAACTTGTAAAAAAAAAGGGGCTAAGTTTGAATATGAAAGAAACAATATGGCAGCATGACTTAGGTCTGTGAAATTGCATCTGAACACATCACAAAAGTTGTGGAATAATATCCTTTGAACTGATGAGAACAAGGTCGAGATATCTGGTCATCATGCACAGCTCTATGCTAGATGAAAAGCAAACACAGCATATTACACAAACACCTCAGCTCAACTGTCTAGCATGGTGGTGGAGGGGTGAAGATTTGGGCTTGTTTTGCAGTCACAGGTCCAGGGAAACTTGCACTCATTGAAGCAACGATGAATTCTACTTCATGCCAGAGTATTCTTGAGAAAATTGTGAGGGTTATGCAACAGGACAAGGATTCCAAGCACACCAACAAATCAACATCAGAATGGCTAAACAAGAAAAAAAATCAAGATGTTGGAATCTCCAAATCCAGTCCTCAACTCTGTTAAGATGCTCTTATGGTAAGATGATCTTACTAGAGCTGTGCATAAAATGAGCTAAAGCAATGTTGTAGAAGAGTGGGCCAAAATTTCTCCAAAATGATGTGGACGACAGATACACTCCTACTAAAAGGTTTACTTCAAATTATTAATGCTAAAGGTGGCTCTACATGTTACCGATTTATTGGGTTTACTTAGTTTCTCCTGCCTGGTTTCTGAGTGTTGGTTTACTTTTTGGAAAAATTACTGCATATCGAAATTTTTGGTTGACACTTGAGGTTATTTTTTTACTTTTATTCTTTTATTCATGTTTTTTTCTTTTATTCTTGTTTTATTCTTCTTTTATTATGTTTATTCTTATTTAAGCCTGATACTGAGGGGGTGCCTTCTTTAATCCCATGACTGTATCCTTAGTGTATAGGTTCTATCAAAGGTCCTGCAAAGTTTGGTGGTGAAACATAACCCTTCAGCCCCCCCCCCCCTCCATGAACCAGGTTTTTTTATTTATGCTAATGTGCTTTAGTCCATGTTTATAGATAACACTGAGTCATACAGTGTCAGAAACCACATAATCAAGACTATTAGAGATACTGAACAGCTCCACATGGTTTATCTGATGATTTAGGCCTGCACTTAGCACCATGCTAATTGGTGGGGTATGAGCTTCCCTTACTTGTTAGCTATGTTAGCCTTATAGCTCCAGTGCTAAAACTAAACAATTTCAGACACCAAAACATGTATTAGCTGACTGAACACTTTTGAGGGTAAGCAGGGGTGTTGCATGAAAATTTCATATTTTAAATAAAGGAGGTTTGAGTAAAGTTCTGACATCTGGATGTCAGTATCTGTATAGTTATTGTTTGTCTAACCGAATAGCAATCTTTTTTATTCTCAAGATGTTTCTATTTGTATGGCTATTTGTTTATTTAATGTTTAATAATTCCTTTTGGAATGTGTGATTTGGCCTGTTCATATAGTACTTTAATACAAAAACAGCTATACAAACAGAATCATCATGAGGCTCAAAGAAAAACATTTCCAGACCTGTAGAAGAGTCTCTTACCTTTCCTCTTCACCTGATTCATTCTCTTCTTCAGATATTCTCTGAGGGTTTTAATGCACACTGGATAGTAAATATGTTCATGACGCCACCGAGTTAACTCCAAAAGTGGTTTCAGTCTTTCTGCCGTATAATTGAAAACATTTTTATATGTTAATTTGTGTTCATGAAAACTCATTTCATCTCTCGTGGTGCCTCTGATTGCATTCTTGGTGATCAGTGGTCCAGGCTGGTCATTGTCCAACAGTTCACACGCCACCAGTTTCTGTTGTACTTGAATACCTAAAACAGAAATAAAAGGAAGAATGTTAATAACTGCTATCTTGGTTAAACATTACATTATTTGTCTTAACTTCCTTATTTCAACAGTACGGAAAGGCAAGAAAAGTCATAATAACTCCTCAAACTGCATTCTTATTATTCAGTCCCCAAGTTCAGATTTTATAACTGAAAGAGGGGAGAGAACTCTGAGAACTTTAGTAGGAGCTCTGTACAGCTTCAACTTTTTTTGGGAAGGCCAGAAGCCCCTTTGATAAACAGAGGTACGATTGACAGATAGAACAGAGGAAAGAGAAAAGATGGTCCAGAAGTCCCCAGCCTGCAGATTATGAAGTTTCTGATGGAGTGCCATGAGAACTGTAATGCTTTAGGTAGAGAACTTTGTTTGAGTGAAAGGAAAAGGTGATGGGTAGAGTAGATGAACTTGATTAAATTCAATAGCTTGACAACAGTGTTGCTGTGAGCAGCTTTACAGATATTTGGATCTTAACCCTGATGAGTGAGCCAAGGGTGACAGTCACAAAGACAAACTCCCTGAGGCTTTAGGAAGAAACAGTGCCCACTGGATGAGAGTGCAAAGTCAGCAGTTCAGGGGCAGAAGAGCAAGAGAAATAAGTAGTAGAGCAGCAAACCAGTCCAAGGATAATAAATAAAGAAGATAATAGACAAAGAATATTTACCAAAATAATAGACAAAAGTAGAGAAGGATTTTATGTGAAAATAAAAAAAATAAATCTTCTTCCACATCTGCTACACCAGCAGAGGGGTGAACCGTCCTGGCTTAAGAGGCAGATATTTATAAAACATAGCTATTTCAATATGGTGGTTTCTTATATCATAAGCAGTAGGGGGCGGCCCCAGTGACCTAAAAGACATGCACCTGGAGGAATCATCTGCAGGATCTGCAGGTTGAGTCCAGAAGAAGGGTGAAGAGTCAAGCATTGGCATATTTTTATAATATGCATGTAATGTGATCCCTGTCTTTTTCTGTAACTGTAACAGAATACAGTAACTTTTTTTTCTTTGATTGCAAAACAATATTCTACCCAGCTTTGCCTATGAGGTTGCAAAAAAGGTCTACTTTTAATGACTCTTCCATGCATTGTAAAAAAAAAACTATGTTTAACTTAAAAAAGAAAAAAAAAGCCTTAAATGAGTCAAATTGAACTTCTAACAGAAAAATGTCTGTATTTTATATTCTGTTAATTTTTTATTTACAATTCAGTGAATTTTACTTTGGCACGAGGTCTGAAGGGCCAGAGCATTGTCGACTAACAATTCCTAATGACAATTCTTGAAAAATTCTTGAAAAAGTGCCTCACCACTCCTAGGTCCTACTGAGTTCATTCAGTTTTGAGACTTTTTTTTGAAACCGGAAGGGTGTCCAAACTCATCAGATTTAAAGTAACTGTGTATTAACATTTGCAGAGAACATTATTTTAACAATAGTTTGCTGTAGAGTGTTTACATTTTTTACCTTTAATACCAACAAATTATGTAATGTGGCCAGCCGTACTCAAATATTACTGTAACTGAACAGTAACCATATTGATTTCTATTACTTTATTTCTACTAAAGGTATTTTTTTGGTTTTGATATGTTTGTAAAACTGTCGGAAGACTGAATGAATTCCAGTTTAGAAGCACCCCTCTGGGTTCCAAACTCTCCTTTAGAGTCTGTGTACTGCCGTTAGCCAATCAGCAGCGCAGAAAATACTGGAGGAAAAGTCTTTGACCAATCAGGGGCCCTTGCTAGTAAACATGGTTGCTAGCAAACATGGCAATTGCAACAAAGCCGTAAAATCCATTTATGAGAACTCATAATGAAAAATATAACATCGGACAGAATTCATGTTTAAACAGGCCAAGATTGAGCTTTGGTGAGTATTCTCAAAGGGGTTTTATAACTGTATGCTATAGTATTTTCAATTTATCAGTCTGGAAAGTTTAGAACTGCTGTATGAATTTTAATAATTCTGGCTGTTATGATCTTTCAGCTCTGTGGCTAAAGGTTTGGACTCTGGATCAGTGGAAACTCTGGAGTGATGAATCAGCTTCTCTATCTGTCAGTCTGATGATGAATCTGGGTTTGGTGGATACTAGGAGAACGTTACCTACTGGAATGCAGAGTTTGGTGGAGGAGGTATAATGGACTGGGCTGTTTTTCAGGGTTTGGGCTCTCAGTTCCAGTGAAGGGTGATGTTGATGCTGCAGCACAAAGACATTTTACACAGTTATCTGCTTCCAGCTTTGTGTCAGCAGTTTGGGGAAGAGCCTTTCCTGTTCCAGCATGACTGAGCCCCTGTGCACAAAGCAGCTCCATAAAGACATGGAGTGACCAGTTTGGTGTGGAGGAACTCCAGTGGCCCTCACAGAGCCCTGACCTCAACCCTGCTGAACACCATGTAACGTCGATTGTGAGCCAGACCCTCTCATCCAACATCAGTGTCTGACCTCACAAATGCTCTTTAGACTGAATGAACACAAATTCCCACAGACACACTCCAAATTACCGTAGAAAGCTTCCCAGAAGAGTCCATATTAATGCCCATGGTTTTGGAATGGGATATTCAAAAAGTTCATATAGGTGTGATGATCAGTTTTCCACTTACATTTGGCCATATAGTGAATATTAACATGGCATTTTGCTGTTTTGATATGTATATATTCAGTGTTATTTGTTGAAAGCTGTGCTGATTGTGCAGTTGAACAGGCTAGTTGCTAATTGACATGCTAAATTAGTGGGCAAAAAGAAGTCTGAACATCATGAAAAGTGCTGTTCCCACTAAATAAATATGCTGCATGGTGCATTAGTACAGTACACATCTGAATTTTGATAACATCCTAGAGAAAAAAGTGAGAAGAAGAACAAGATCCTATAGGAGAAAGGGGGATAGAAGCAGGCAGGCAAATAAAAAGCAACTAGAGGTGCCGTGCCAGCCTGGCTGCAGTGAAACTGCTTGAAATGAGTGTCAGTGGGGCAACATCACTGAATAGGATGTGTGCATGTTTGCAAGCACCAGCATTTAGCAGCAGCACTGCATGAGTCACTGGAGCTACTTGAAGCTCCAGACCATGACCATGGTGCAGGGAGCGCTGTGTTGGGGAGCATGAGAGGCCAGGCAGGCAGTGACTGAGGCAGCATCAGCCACAGCAACAGGTGCAGTGAGAAATAACTTCAGTTTGCATGTCACACGGAATGATTCATCAGAAGGAGCAGACAGATGACTGAGGAGAGTTGGGGAATTCTTTGGTGAGAGAACATAGAAAAGCTGATGTGTAATTAAAAGAATGTAGGATTGGCAGGAGGAGGCACGCCCTCCACCCAAATTTCAGTTACTCAATAACTTCATTTATTAATGATAAGACTTATTTTTCACTACCTACCATGTTTTTATGTAAATGTTTTTTATTATTTACTATGAATTGCTCAGTGACTAATATGAATTATTCAGTATCATCTACAAATTATTCACTAAGTACAATTATTATTCAGTGACTATGAGGAATTATTTAATAACTATTACGAATCAGTAACCATCATAAGTCATTCTGTATCTGCTATGAAATTTTCAGTATCACTTATAAATTAGTCACTAAGTACAACAGATTATTCAGTAACTATGATGAATTATTTACTAACTACAATGAATTATTCATTATCTCCTACAAATTTTTCACTAACCTCTATGAATTATTCAGTACTGGCTATGAATTATTAACTATTATAAATTATTAATGAACTACTATGAATTATTCAGTATTCACTATGAATTATTCAGTATCTACTATGAATTTTTCACTAACAGCTATGAATTATTCAGTATCTACTATATACTTATACTATATACTACAAATTACTCAGTAAGTTCCGTGAATTACTCAGTATTTACTTTGAATTATTAACCACTATGAATTATGCAGCACCTACTATTAATGATTTAGTAATTACAGAAATAGTGAAGTGTAGACCCTCATACAAATTCTTTAAAGGGTAAAAAGAGAATAAACATAACCTGGTAATCAATTTTGAAGAAATTGTGAAACAATTAAGAGCGGAGCACAGTTTTAAATGAGTAAGCAATAGAGCAGCATATGGGTCTTACTGGTTTTTATATTAATATTGGTGAAAATAACTATGCAAATATAAAATTTAATATTATTGTTCCAACGTTTTTATGCAAAAAGAATTTCACTTACTTTCAGTATAATTTAACTCATTACTTATGAATAGATGTCTGCGGTTTAAGTCAGCAAGCAGAAAGGAACTTATGGTCTTGACATGATCTGGGTCGATCACACCATCGTCTTCCTGCTCCTTAACAAGACCTCGAGGAAAAAGAGTCTTCATCTTAGAGTCAAAGTATCCAATTGTGAGATCATCCAACATCAATGTCAAACTAAGTTCTGGAAACGGCGTCTCTCCTTTAATGTAAGTTATGACCATGGCCAAAGAGTGAGAACCTGTAAGAGGGAGGAGAGTCAATTAATATTTATAACACACAGTCAGTCAGACCACCATGTAACATGTATAACAATAGTGTGTTTTATGAATATATGCACATATACAAAACATATGTGGACCTCTGACCTAATGAGTGAGTTCAGGTGTTTCAGCCACACCCATTGCTAACAGGTGTATAAAATTAAGCACATAGCCTTGCAGTCTCCATAGACAAACACTGGCAGTAGAATGGGTCGCAATAAGGAGCTCAGAGACTTTAAATGAGGAAATTCATTATTGAGAAATGGCAGTGTCTAGGAGCAACAGCAGCCCAGCCACAAGCAGTAGACCACACAAAATCAGAGTGGGCTGCTGGGTACTGTAGCATATAGGGTGTAAAAATGGATGAATCTGGGTTTGGTGGATGCCAGGAGAACGCTGAAGTTTGGTGGAGGAGGGATGATGGGCTGGGGCTGTTTTTCAGGGTTTGGGCCCCTCAGTTCCAGTGAAGGGTCATGTTAATACAACAGCACACAAAGACATTTTACAGTTATATGTTTCTAGCTTTTTGGCAGCAGTTTGGGGAAGAGCCTTTCCTGTTTCAGAATTTTAGTGTTTTTAGTGTTTTTAGTGTTTTTTTGTTTTTTTTTTAATGTTTTTTTTGCTGAATGTTTACAAATTATTTGAGCAGATTTAATTTTTTTATACAAGCAGCATTCAAAGAATGTGGTGTGAACCCACCTAAGTTTGTTTTCCTCTGAGTCTCTCGAGTTGTTATAATAAGTTGTAAATGATATTAGGTTTAATTCATGTTCATGTTGCTCTTTTTCTCTTAAGCCCCTGCCCCCTAACATGTCTGCACGGGCCTGTACACACAGACATTAAAACTGTGCAGCAGGGTGAGCTAACCTATAGACTCGTCCTCAGCTAATGTAGAGCTAGACGACCTTTAAAGAAGGAAAATTCAGGTGACTGCAGTCTGGAGAAAAGATGCTTTTTCCACATCTATCAAAGTTTTCTACGTTTTTTAAAAGGTGCCTTAGCTCATTGGCGTAGGATCAATATTGGATACAGTTGGATGCGTTTGTTCCTTCCACTGGAAGATTTCTATATCAGTCTTCTATCCCCCGTGTACCTGCATCTCATTTATTTATCGACCTTATGGTAACCAGGAGGGTTTGGGTTAGCTAATGTTAACATTAACTATGCTTAAATCATCAAAAAAAGCACCCTAAAATGTCAGGTAACATTAAGGCATGTAAAAAACAATACACCACCATCAGAAGTGCCTTTAGTAGTGCAGTATATAAATAAATAAAGGGTGTGTTGTTTGGGACACAGCCCCACTGTCTAATGTTAATATTAGCCTTGTCTCAGTCTTGTAACATTAGAACTTTCTCATTAGTAACTTTAATGTAAATTGTTTTGTCATCTCATTTCAGCATAATGCCACCAAAAAACAAAAATAAAACCATCACAGGACAACATTACTTAGGTTCTTCAAAAGAGTCGCCTTCTGCTTTATTTGGACGGGATCAGTTTTTCATGGTTAGGTGGGTATGGCCAGTTTACCTCAGGACATCTGTAATGTTTAAAACACTTGATTTTGCCATTATTTTGTTTACACTAACCATTTACCTTTCAGTCTTAGGTGAACGCAGTGAGTCATTAGCATCGCCATCAGCTCGGGATTCACAACAGTCAACTTCACCGCATAAAATCAAACTTTTTGTCTGTATTTTTTATATGTTCTGAGTTGTACATGTGAGACGGTACAGTAACGTTACCTACCTATTACCTGATTTTAACTACAGAGAACAGTCAGCTTCCTGTTTAAATTTTCCCGTTCCACCTTAATTGTTACAGCGGTTACATTCTGTCACTAATAACTACCACACTATTTAAGGTGGATCGGGAAAATTCACGAGAAGCTGACGAATAAGAAGCTGACTTAAGCTCCGTAAGTAAGTGTCCTTCGAGTGTCTCCATGCTGCTCAATGCCAGTTTCTCAGATCAACTAAAACATTACACTATGCTTAGTTTCTCATAAGCCTCTTCAGAATTGTTTTAAAGCAGTTATTCAGCTCTGTGACTTCAGTGGCAGATACACAGTAGCAAATGTGTTCCCCCCGAAGTCAAACTCACTCCTACGCCCTTGCTTTAGCCTATTTCTGTGGCATGTGCCTAACCCAGGCTTTATCACTCACGTGCGTTCACTGATTAGACCAGTTGTGCTGCTGCCAGGCTCCCATTGTTATAATATTAGAATTCCTAATTTCTTGTGAAAAGATATCTATTCTTTTAAATACAGCACTAGTTATTTAATCTAACAAGAAAATGTGATTTAATATCTAACTACCTGAATTAACACAGCCCATTCTGAATGTTTCAGATCTGAATGTTGCTGCAAATTCTCAATGCAAGTAAAAATAACATGACTGTTCAGATTCTCTGAGCTCTTACCTGCTGAAACAGCAGCAGGAAGGAACAAAACAAACAACAGAGCACGGATTCCCTCCATTTCGGCACAAAAAAGCAGTTTCCAAAGTGTGCTGCTTAACCAAAACTACAGAACTGGTTCCACTTCGCTGCTACACAAACCAGACAAGATGTACTTTCATTTCTGCCACTTCCTGTATTCAAAGTGCAGATACACAGCAAAAGAACATTTCATGAACTCCAATTACAAGCAGAGGATAAGTGACCATGATATAGGGCTGCTGACAAGGTATTTGGACGCAGCTGTATTAAATAGTTGTAGGCAAAAGTTTGAGCACCCCTGGCCTATCTGTATATTTTGCTGATTTTATGAAATGACCTCTGTACCACTTTAAAGGCAACCACAACTTTTTAAGTTAAACGCCAAATCTCCATCAGTGAGAGAATGAGGAAAAATTAAATGAAAGTATCATTAATATATTTATCAAAATGTACAATGAATTTAATGCAAATACACAAGTGCTCAACGTATAATGCACACATGTGGAATGCTTTTTACAAGCTTTCATGTTTAATCTAGAACAGCTACCACAGCTACCTGTAGCTAAAACTGCCTCACACAAGAGTGGTACACAGTGGTATTAAAATATACCCAGGAAGGGAACAGCGTCCCAACTCTTTTACACACCATGTCATTGACTTCTCAAATTCTATACGGTTATCATTCAGTTATTAATCTTTAGCCATATTGCTCAGCAAGTACTATAATTTATTCAGTATCTACTAAGAATTATTTAGTATGTACAATGAATTATTCAGTAACTACTATGAATTATTTAGGCTGCCTAGGACCTTGTTAAGAAGCTTCTGCAAGCTTGTGGTTTGCACCCTGGGTCTGCGTTTAGACACATACCCTGCAAGCCTCTGGTGGAGAAGTGCTGAGTGAGTTCTCGTCTGAGGAAGCATGATTTTGTTGCAAGCATTGGGAGCGATGAACAGGTCTTGTAGTGTGACATAGTCAAAGAATCTGAGATGCCCCTTGTCACCCCAATAAAAAGTCTAGCATGTAGTATTTTCCTGCCTGTTAGGCAGTGGTGGACGAAGTACAGAAACCATGTACTTGAGTTAAAGTAGAGATACCCAAGGTAAAATATTACTGCAGTAAAAGTAGAAGTTCCTCCCTTTAGACCTCCACTTGAGTAAAAGTACAAAAGTATTTGCCTTCAAATGTACTTAAGTATCAAAAGTGAAAGTACTAAAAGATTAATTCTGACTTTATTGTCTTATTACTGTTTTTGTAACAGTAACTCTTACTTCATTAACTCATTTTAGGTGAAAATACTCCAGTGTCTCTCTTGGTAAACCAGTCTTTTAATAGAAGGTCATTAATTAGTGACGCTGATGTCTATTAAAATTATCATAAGCACAAAACACTGAAGGCAAACAGTTTCCATCAGGTAGAACTGAGTGGCTCTGAAATCACTTTTTACAAACAAGCAAAGTTTCAGTTTAAGATTTATTTGAACTTAGTTACAAGTTTAAGTTTAATAAAAACTTTAAACTCAGATTCACAAATGAGTTTCCTTTACTAAACTGCATCTGTAGGTCTCTGTTCATAAACATAAACTAGCCTAAACTAATTTACTATAAAATGAAATACTGTTTGTATAAATTCAGAAAAAAGACACGTCAGTCTCAACTGCATATGAGTACATATTTCTGTATTGTGGTCTATTTACACAAAGTTAGGTTAGTTCATCATTTATGTTGAATAGACTCTCCCAAAATTTTACGCTGCTGCACTGATGTTGAACCGTGTGTTGCTCTGGGTCGGTATGACCAAGAGGTCAAAACAAGCTCAAAACAAAGTGACCGCTGTGCCCTGATTGGTGTTCTTGCTTTGTGCTTCTTTAGTTTTGACATGTTATGTTTTTATACACACATAAACCAAAAGGAACGACAGATTTCTCATAATGTAGTGGAGTAAAAAGTGAGATATTTGACTTTGAAATGTTGTGGAGTGAAAGTAAAAAGTCCCCAAAATGGAAAAACTTCAGTAAAGTACAGATACACAAAAAACTACTTAAGTACAGCAACGAATTACATTTTCTTCGTTACTGTCCACCACTGCTGTTTTGACATCTGCAGTGACACACTCCTTGACATTGATCAATAGGCTGACAGAGTGCTGCCTGATGCACATATGTAAACACAGCAAAGAGTAAAACGGGATGCTGCTTTTGCAGCTGTCAGGAGGAACAATGAAACAGAGAAAAGGTTCTCTGAGGTGTGGCAGCAGAACCCCTGCCTTTCTGACGTTTCCTTGAGGGAGAACCATGAGTCCAAAATAGCATTTACAGCCTCTGTTTACATAAAGTAAACCTGGTATCTACACCTATGTAATGTCCTTGATATGTTAACACATCTGTTACCTCAGGTGCTCTTCATGACAAATGGAACGACTCCACAGTTGCTTTTCGTTTTGTTTCTTTTTCTTTTCAAAACACAAAACCACCAGCATCACACACAGCGCTTCTGACTGACAGCGTCTTGACCCTCCTCCTCGATGACCCATGAACTCATGCAAGGATGTTAATGATGGTTTGGTTGGTGTCAAACTTGTAGTGCTGTCCCTCGACTAAGTCATGGAACAAATTCATGGCACTATCTTTGCCTAATTAGACATAGTGACCATCGAGAAAAACTCAAATATTGTGTAGTTTGATCCGGGCATAAGCTGCACTGGGATTTGGGCATTTGTTTATGATGCTTTTATTTTTTGTCATATTATGTTCACTGGTCTTTTTAAGATCAACTGGAGGGAACAACAGGACTTTGTGTACTTGTGTTTCTCTCTCTCTCTCTCTCTCTCTCTCTCTCTCTCTCACATATTTCCACTATAAATTCTTTTGTGTTAATTGTGACAATTTAATAAACTTACACAATACCACTGCAATGCATATTTTGTTGTTGACCTTTGTTCTGTGGTCTGCATTTACATGTCCATGAGACAAGTCCCCATGAAAGCTTAATGTCGAGCCCTGTTTTATTTCTGAATCATAACTGTGTCTGCTGCTTGGCCAGTTGCACAAGTTTGCCCAAAGCAGAGGCAAGTCCACAGATTATTCTGAAGTCTGAATACCGATGTGTGCAATTTCACTATTATGTACTCACTATACATACTGTGCATATTATGCCCATATTGCATGTGCATAATTCAGCTCTCAATACAGACTTTGTTGCATACGTGAAAACAAAACACAGGAAGTGGCAAAGGTAAAGGATGTTTGTGGTCGCCAAAATGATGGAGGGGTGGAGGTGTTAGTGAGAAACACAACAACTTTTGCATGTGTGGATTAGCTTTGGGTCTCTCAGACTGAGACCATTAACTTTGCTTGGGCCGAAATGAACACAATCCACACTCTACTGTTTGCTTCCTTTACAACAATCCATCCTACTTTTCTGGCAGGTAAGAGCTCAAAGAATGTTATTCATTGAAATTTTGACTTGTATGCTTATAGAAACATTCAGCTGTGCCTGCTGGCTTTTAAATTGCCTTTTCTATTTAGTCAGATGAATAATTCCACACTGTTTTTAATTTCTGATTTTCCTTTATTGCCAGCCATAACATCTTCCATAATATTCGACCACCCAGTGCAGACTGTATTAGTGTACACATTTCCACAATTTAGTTGATCAGCAAACAAATGTTTGGTGTCCAAAGTTTTAGCACTGCAACTATGAGGCTAATGTAGCTAACAGGTAATTGAAGCTTATACCTGACTAATTGGCATGGTGCTAACTGCATGCCTGAAACTTTGTGGAGCTGTTCAGTAATCTAAGGCAATGGCAAGGCAATTTTATTTTTATAGTTCCTTTTATACACTGCAGTCATTCAAAGTGCTTTACAAATGAGAAAATACAAAGATAATTCAAATTAAAATTTAAAAAGTAACAAAGTCAAGGAGAATAGAAATTAAAACACGATTAAAACAATGGATTTAGAGAGAAGAAATGAAATATCAAAAAAAAAAATCAAATAAAAAAATTAATCAGGACTACAGAGAGGTGTTAGAGGAGAGAAGTGCAGTAGAGCTAACAGTGTTTAAACTGAGCTGAAAGCTGCTCAAACAGGAACGTTTTCAGGCCGATTTAAAGTGTCCAGTGTCAGGGCTCTTCTAAATGCTCTCTGTCCACTGGGTCCATTGAAGGGCAGCATAGTAGCCAAACGCTGCTTCTCCATGTTCAGTCTTCACCTTCAGCAGGACTGACTGACCAGTTCCTAATGATCTGAGAGTTCTGCTCGGCTCATATTGCTGCAGCTCCTTAAAGCCTATTCTGGAACAGACTGGTAGCCAGAGTAAGGGTTTAAGGGGGAGGGGTGTTCCTTCTTTTACTCCTAGTGAGACTCTGGCAGCTGCATTCTGAATCAGCTGAAGCTGTTTGATTGTCTTTTTTGGGGTCCAGTTAGGAGACCATTACAGTGATCAATCCTGCTAGAAATAAAGGCGTGGATGAATTTCTCCAGGTCTGATTTAGTCAGAACATCTCTGATCCTGTCGATGTTCTTAAGATGATAAAAAGCTGATTTAGTAACTGCTTTGACACGACTGATAAAACTAAGATCAGAGTCCATCAGTCCACCGAGGTTACATACTAGTTCTTTAGATTTTAGGGCTCTTGAATCCAGATAGGCAGCTAGTCTTTTTTTATCACCTCTTCTTTTAACAAACTCTGTAAGTGTTTGGGAACTGAGGAGACACTGCTATAGTTTTGAAAGTGAAATGTTTTCCCATTTTTGCTTAACATAGGATTTCAGCTGCTCAACAGTTCAGGGTCTCCTTTGTAGTATTTTTCATTTTATAATGTGCCAAATGTTTTCAGTGGTGACAGACCTGGACTGCAGGCAGGTCAGTTTAGTGCCCGGACTCTTTTATTATGGAGCAATGCTGTTGTAATACATGCAGAATGTGGTTTTACATTGTCTTACTGAAATAATCAAGGCCTTCCCTGAAAAAGACGTCGTCTGGATGGCAGCATATGTTACCAAAACCTATATATATTGTTCAGCATTAATGGTGCCTTCGCAGATGCGCACATCACCCATGCCATGTGCACTAATGCCCCCTATACCATCATGAAAACTGACTTTTGAACTGTGCACTGATAACAAGCTGAGTGGTCTTTAGCCCGGAGGACACAGCGTCCATGATTTCCAAAAAGAATTTCAAGTATTGATTCGTTGGACCCCAGGACACTTTTCTGCTTCCCCTCAGTCCATTTTAAACGAGCTCAGGCCCAGAGAAGGTGGCAGCGTTTCTGGATCCTGTTTATACATGATTTCTTCTTTGTGTTTTAGAGTTTTAACTTGCATTTGTGAATGCAGCGACAAACTGTTTTCACAGACAGTGGTTTTCAGAAGTGTTTCTGAGCCCATGCAGTGATTTCCACTACAGAATCATGTCTGTTTTTAATGCAGTGCTGTCTGAAGGCTTACATACAGAGATTTCTCCAGATTCTCTGAGCCTTTTAATGATATTATGTACCGTAGATGATGAAAAGGAAAAGTTCTTTGCTGTTTTACGTTGAGAAATGTTATTCTTGAATTGTTACACTATTTGATCATGCAGTCTTTCACAGAGTGGTGAACCCCTCCTCATCTTTACTTCTGAAAGACTCCGCCTCTCTGAGATGCTCTTTTACACCCAATCATGTTACTGATCAGTTGATAATGAACCACCAGGTGTTTTTTTTAGCATTACACAACTTTACCAGCCTTTTGTTCCCCTGTCCCAACTTTTTTGGAACGTGTTGTTGGCTTCAAATTCAAAATGGGCAAATATTTTTCAAAAAATAATAATATTTCTCAGTTTCAACGTTTGATATGTTGTCTTTGAAGCATTTTCAATAAAATACAGGAGTTAATTAATTTGCACATCATTGCATTTTGTTGTTATTTACATTTTGCACAGAGTCCCAACTTTTTTGGAAATGCTGTTGTACATTTTGCACAGCATCCCAACTTTTTGGGGGTTGTAAATAGAGCCTGCTCACACCTTGCATTAACGTGTTTCATGTCCAGATTGCATCTGGATAATCTTTGACCAGATTTCATTTACACTATTCACTAAAATGCATCCCCAGTGTGACCAAATGAGATCTTGTACTGTTCCCGTGTTCTCTATTCCTTCATCAGTGGTCACAAAAAAAAGCACACCAACATATTCGCCGTTTCTGTTTTGCTTACAGCCCAGAGTGCATGAAGGCTCTTGGTTTGAGAATAACTCCAGCCTCACATATTCATTGTTTATCCTCTCGCCTGCTAGTCAGCACTCAGCAGATGTATTTCTGCTCCTTACAAGGTGTAAATGCAGGGTGTAAACAGGCTCATATACTCTATTCTTTGGTCTTGTTTTCTGTGAAGTCTCTGTTGCTTTGACTGAGTTCTGAGTTCTTGTGACCTTTGCCCGTTCCCCTGATTTTAGCAGTATGGAGTTTGCCTGTGCTGTTTCTGCTTTCCTGTTTGAGAGTTGGATTACCTCAAGTAAAGCTACTCTGCACGTGCATCCTGGCTACAAGCCCCTTTCATTTCAATTTCATTTACCTCCCCCTCTCTCCTCACTGATTACTGAAAAAGCATACATTAAATATTGGCCATAAAAGTCTGTCTCTACCAAACCCCAGACAGGTTTTAAGGTAGCTACTCATACAGTTAATAAGATAAAATCCAGCCAAGTGAACCAACTGATTTCTTAATTATGTTACATGATACTTTGCCATCAATATGCTAGTTAACAATGGATTTTCATGCCTATTGTAGTTCGTTATGAGTAGGTAACACAGTACAACTTTGATTTCTCATCTAATCGCTAACAGAGCTAGCTACAGAGCTAGTAGCCTAAAACTGAGCAGCTACAGGAACTGTGCTAATGCTAATGTTGAAGCATGCTGATTTAGCTGGTCCAAATAAAAAACACTGTATAATGAAGGTTTCATTTTATAAGCATAATCTGTTAATAACATGTATAAACTCACATTTTTATCATAGCAATGTTATATTTTAGCCTACAGTATGTTTTCTCCACTTCAAAAAGTCACTCTGAATGATGTTAGCATCTTATGCAGAGAACAACAGGGAAACAAACACATTCTCCATCAATCTGACGAACGATTTCACCATGCAAAGAACCATTTAACCATACAAAGGGTTCTTTGAGTGGTCATGGTTTTATATAGAACCACTGTCTTTACTAAAGAACCCTTGAAGAACCATATTCTTTAAGAATATAGGATACTGCATGATCAGAACGGTGCTGATCATTTAATCTCATGAATGGAGATCTGTGAAAAGAAACTTTTGAAACTGCCGAGGTCCAGACCTCAGTGTTCTCACACCTGCTTACAGCTATTTGAGGACATGAGAAGGAAACTAGAGGCAAAGTGCTTCAGTGTAATTAAAATTAAAATCAAAACTTTATTTTGTAAATAAAAGATGGCATAATATTACTCGTCTTTTCCTGCACTTGAACAAAACAACAGTTAAATAGTTAAAAGTATTCTACAACATGTGTGAAAACAGGTGAAGTGTTCATAGTTCAAGAGTTTTCAGTTGGAACGCTTTGCCTAACAACCCAGTCTTCATGTGTAAACGATGGTAATGTTCATTGCTTACACTCATTTACTTTGTCTTATGTCTTTCCCACAGGGAAAGCATGATTACAACTTACATCAAAGGAGATACGCCTTTTCCAGAATTTAGTTTCATCTTGATGTTGGATGACGTCTCAGTTCTACACTTTGATTCTGAGAAAAGTGTTGCCTGTTCCCAGAGGCCTTGATGATACAGTGGAAGAAGCTGGTGTGATCAACCCAAATCGCTTCAAGACAGTAGGTTCCTACATGCATGCTGACCTTGTGGAAAGATGGTTGTATGCAACATCTGACCTTAATCTAACTGACAGTAAGTGTAATTCTTTTTGCAAATATATTTGCTGGTTCAACCCTTTTTCAGCATGTACTCCATGTGTTCAAAAAAAAACCGTGTGCAGGTAAAATAAACACATATAAACTGAAGCAACCTATGGAAGTTTTTGATATTTATGATTTATGATTTTAAGATGAAAGCAAAAGCAGAGGAGAAAGGAGAAAAGACAGAGTTGTGAAAAATTCTCTCTCAACATAAATAACAATATGTAATCGTTCCTGGTTCCTTTGTGCCCAAAGGCCCATTTTTATTAAATACAGATTTTCTGCAGTTCAGTACTGTTTAGTGTTTTAATAAAAATATGATGATCTTCTGTGTGAACAGCTGTTCAAATCTGTGTCTGCTGGTCATGTACTGGCTGAGTTTCTGAGCTCAAAATGAGCTAAAATTATCACTTAAGAAACAGTCACTACTGAAACATTTGGTACAGTTTGGGTAGAGTTCATCTTTTGTTTTACTAAAATAAACATATTTAATAAACATATTAAAGGGTTACTCAAAGCAAAAGTTTTTTAGTCCAAGATCAGTTACCCAAAAGTCCCAAATGTGCTTTGAGAAAAATTGGTAGAATGATCCATATACAGTTTAGAGGATTAACTTTAAAACCCCACACTTCAAACTATTAGTAAGAAAAAGACAATATAACATATTTCATATATAAAAGGGTATTATAATATATATATATATATATTATATATATATATATATATATATTTGGGGTGTGAAAAAACAGGACAAAATTGACTCACCAACAATTTGGAAGCAATAATTTAGTAGATTAACCTCACATAAATGAACTATGAAAATTTATATATAAACAGAAAATAGATACATAAGTAGAAAATTTATATGATGGTATAATTAAGACTATTGATGTTTTCAATGTATATCGTGTGTATTTATGTAGATGTTTTATTAATAAAACCATTTTGGGTGCTAAAGTAAACATTTTTTATAGATTAAAAATGGCATATTATTCCGGATGTCCCCTCACCACATTAAAAACTGAAGTAAATCTAAAATAGTTTTATTGGGCAAAATAGTGAAAACAGAAATTGTCTTGCTTTCTAACCTTAATGAGATGTGTGACGAGTGTGTTCCCTGAGCATGGCAAAAACGGTACAAAGGTGAAGTCAGCTTCTTATTAGCCAGCTTCTTCAAATTTAGGAACTTAGCAAATATTACAATCAGTTTTAGTGGCTTGTAGGCAGAGACTGTGGTGTTTCCTGAAGCAGCTGGCTCAGAAAGGAGAGCTGCACATGGAAAAAGATCAAGCCAGCTGCAGCTATCTCTTAAAGAACAGACTCAATGTGTCTGAGGTGGTCCTCACAGCTGATGCTGAAGATGACCACGTCGTCCAGGTACCCTGCACAGCAATCTTCACATTCCTTCAGCACATGCTCCATTAAATGCTGGAAGGTTCCTAGTGCATGCTGAAAAACTGGATGAGACCCAAGGGAATTCTGTGCCAATGATACCTGTCAGTAACTCTCAAAGGTCATGGATTGGGATGTGCTGTACATGCCCTAGCCTCTCCAGGAGTTCAGGAATCTTTGGCATCAGGTTTGCATCAAACTTGAATACTGCATTTATCTTTCTAAAGTCAATGCAGACTCAGTGATCTATTGGGCTTTGGTACATTGATGATCCGGCTGCACCACTCACTTCCTGAAGGTTCACTGACACCCAACTCCAGCATGGTACGGATCTCTGCCTTTAGGGGTTCTGGCACCGGGTAAGGCCTCTGCTAGATCGACATGTCATCTTTAAGATTAATGACTTGCTTGTTGTACAGCGACACAGTTGACTGGAACACTGACAGACACGTTTGGAAGCAGTGTCCAAAGACCCCTTTTGGTGTGTGGTCAGGTGGTCTAACTTTTGACGTGGGGAAGATCTCCACATCCATAACTCACTGATTACCTCTCCACCTTCTCCTTCCATTTGCTGGACCATCATTGCCATCTGTGGACCCTCTCCACTTCCTCATGAAGTTCTCATGATTGATCTATGAGGTATTATCTTTATATGTCACTGACACTGCCATTGTCAGTAGCAGGAGGATCTTCTGACCTGGGTTTTCTATTTGGGCTTTCTCCAGATGCAGACTAGCCTCCTCCCTTAAGGATTCTAGGTGGTCTCTATCTGCAAGATGTAACCGATGATACCCTCTGTGTTTTGATCCTAAGACTTGTCCTCCTACTGATGATGTAACAGGTCCAGGGGTCCTCGCACTGATGAGCCATACGAGAGCTTGAATAGATGAATACGTGAAACGGCGACCACTTGTCTCCATCTTTCCTTGTGTCTGACACAAACGTCTTCAGCATCAACTCAAAGTTTTTGTTGAATCTTTCAGCCAGTCCATCAGTTTAGGAATGATAGGGAGTAGAGTGTATACTGGTGATTCCTAGTTGCTTGTACATAATACAAGATAAGAAATTCATGCCTTGGTCCATGAAAATCTCATCTGGAAAGCCCACTTTCACAAAGAGCTGCACAAGTGCTGCTATAATTTTGGTGGTTGTGATGGGCCATAAGGGGACCTGGTGGTATAGTCAGATAGATCAAGATTGTACCTGAACCCACTCCTCAGTTTTTTTTGCCAGCTGTTCAAAATGAAGCAGGTAGTTTTCGATATCCTCCCCCTCGTGGAACATTGGCATCTGTGGCTCAGATCGATAAAGCTCCCTTCTTTCAGGTTGAGAGGACTCTTACTGCACACACCTTGATGAGTTGAGGAACAATATCTTGAAAAAGTTGAGAATGTGGAGGTGCTGGTCTAGGAAGAGGTACTCTAGGGCTGCGGTTATCTGAAGAGAGCATGGATGTCAGGAATCCTGGTGTTCTGGCTGCAGCAAATGCATCCTGTTTAATACTCCCATTACCTTGTCTTGTAAAGTAAGTTGTTTGGTCCGAAGCTCTTGGACTAGTCTCTCCTCCTGTTCCTGCTGCAAAGAGAGACACTGATGAAAGAGCATCGTCAGTGTGGACACCACAAACAGATCCTCTGGAGCAGTAGGGGAACCAGTATGTGCTTCAGGCTAGGCGCCGTGGTCCCTCCTCCTGCTCTGACTTGTCCTATTGTCCTTCTTCATCATCTGTTACTAACTCACCTTGAGAAGCCTTGTTTTCTGGGACTGTAGTCCAATCTTCTTCTGCATCAACACTCTTTTGCATCTAACCCCAACCTCGTGCATAGAGACAGGAATCCCACCATCCTTCTTCTAAAAGATCCCACCATTACCACCACCTGCCACACCTTGCTCTGGTGAAGGTAGTATAGGCCGTCACAAAGCAACTCACTGAGTTGCTTTGCTTATGGGCAAGGATTTCAACAATAACATCTGGGCTTTTTCAACCTCAAAACGGTGATCAAAACACCCATATCTCAAAATAAAGAGGTCATATGAAAAAGATGTCCTTGTTGGAATTAATTTTTACAAATTTGTATTTTTCTTTTTTTATGATTTGATTTTTTTCAGAGTGAAAAGAAAAGGTAAGACATTTTTCTTGTTTTTTTTCAGCCATAAGATGTCACTATTTTTATAGCTCCCTAATTTTTTATGTTAGGATACTGTTTGACAAACATGCCACAAGCTTGGGGAAATTCACATTTTAGCCACCCCAGGATTTATGATTTGATCTGTGATATAATCTCTGTTAGCCACCCTGAAAGATCGAGAACTAAACTGTACTTGACATTACAAGAGTACAAGAACACATAAAAATTCACCCACATTATCTCACTGTAAAAAAATTAAGTCAGCTCAACTTACAAATTACAATTTTAACAATTTCCTACATTATTTAACGTTGTCTTAACCCCTTTAATGTTCAGGGCCCAAAGTTTTATTACACATTTCTATGATCTAAGAACAGCTCATTCAGTTTGCAGTGAAGTCCCTGTAGTTACTGAATAATAAGCCTTAGTATGTAATAAGCCTGAGATTTTAAGGGGTTATAAAGTTTTATGTGGGGAAATTTAACCTAATATTGCCAAGCACATAAATGGGCATAAAAAAGCCAAAAATGTATGTTTTTTAGTATAGCATCTCGGTTAGGTCAGCAATAAAATTTAAATAACCCACCCTCTGATCAGGGCATTACTTACGAACGAAGACCATTTTTTATCCTTTTGGATAAAGTGGTTGATGGCAGGGTCGTGCAACTGATCCTTTGCTTTTAAATTCATCAACAATTGCATCTCATTCTGATGGCGACGGGCTGACTTGGATAAACTTTCTAAATCACAAAATCCATCTTTGGCCGAAGACCCACTCCCAAATTGCCTCAAATTGAGTTGAAATGCCTCTCAAAAGCCTTTCTGCACCAAATTATGGTGCTCTGGTGCAGGTCGTCCTATGCTGATTAACTCCAAATTTTCATTAAAAGTTCGTCCCCACAGCGGGCGGAACTTGTCATAAAGTACGCAATAACAAAGCCCTCCTCTGTAGAGGGAAGATATGATTGGTCAGTTTTACTGTCATTTAAAAATTGCTTGGCCCTCTGTAAATTTATAGCTGGACCACCAAATCACCATCGTTCTTTCCAGCAACAGCAGATACGGCAAAATTCGGATAGGGGGAGGCAGAGGGGCTTCTTTAATTTAACCCTTCACATTCCAATACAGGAATATGCAGGTTTGAAGGATTTATTTGCTTAGATTTGTGTTTGCTTAGATGCTGATTGTCAAAGTATGATCAGATAAAACTAGAACTGCTCAATTTTACAATATTATTTTTAGAATACCTTAGGCCCCCTCTGAGGGCGTAGAGGGCCCTGACTGTTACCCTCTGGTTGCCACAAATCTAAACTTGATATGGGATTCATGTTCTGAATTTACAGCCAGTTTCTGACCTCCTGACCACTGGAGGAGACCTGCTGCCCAATGGAGACGGGACCTACCAGATGAGGAAGAAACATGGAGCTCAGTGAAGAGGAGCTGAAGAAGCACAGCTACACTTGTACAGTCACCCACCTCAGCCTGGACAACAAGCTGGACGTCCATTTGGGTACTGAATCTCAGAGTGACACAGAAAATTCCTCAGCTGACTCTGAGCTTTTTATCACTTTCTCAAATGATGTGTTTCAGATTTTGATCCAGGGGAGCCCATCAGGTCCATTGTTGGCTCTGTGTTTGCTGCTCTGGTCTTGGTGTGTGTGATGGTGGCCGTCGTCTGGATGGTATACAGGAGAAAACGTAGAGGTAAAAAAGCCGATTAGAAGAAGGAGCTTCTTTAGCTATGCACTAACAAAAGACAAAAAAGGTACTAAAGTTGGTTGGAGAAGTACTCAAGAGTTTCTCTGATTAATTTCTCTGATCATTCTCTCAGTATCGTCTCTTTTTACAGCTTCCTCTAGGCGTAGGAATGGACCAGCCTCCAGTAAGTGTTTTTAATGATAAGTGAGATATTTATTGTGTATGTTTCACTGACAAGTACTCTTTCATACAAGAATGTCAGTGCAATGCAGAAAATGCAACCACTTTGTAATGCCAGGACACTGAGAGGCAAAGTTAAAATGAATACAGTACATATTGGTATGGTATGCAGTTTATACTAGTACAGTATGTAGTATACTATAATAAACTGTATGTGGTGTGCAGTTTACACTGGTTCATCCCCATCATTCTTCTGATGAATAAACTTTCACTCTTCATACATAAACAAAAGCATCTTCCATAAAATAGCTCGGGAGCGCCCTCTAGCATTTGAGAAACCCAGAAGACTTACAGAGTGATAATTCTCCTCTCTACAAGTTCTCTGGTCGGGGTCGAGCACTCGAGCGGTGCAGATGTGCTGAGGGCCCCCACGGTTAACAGCTACCTACAGAGCTTTGTTAGCATTCTGACCAATGTGTGATACAGCTCAATGAAGCACCTTGACCAGGACTTGTAAACAGCTGAGTTTCTCTCCTTCCTTCGCACCAAACACTAAAATACATTTTACTGCATTCTTTTATTTATGTGCATTTGCTTTGCATTCTGCTTGTTGTGGCTTAATATTATTGTGAAAAACATTACAACTGGAAAATAATTGCAGTCAGCTTAAACTGCCATTAGGCGATTATGTAATAATTGTGAAAGGCCTAATTAGCGATTAAGAAGGTTTGTAATTTGTACACTGGACATGATGTTGAGCCATCCAGGAGAGAAGACTGATTTAGGGTCCTGTTTTTTTAAGAAGGTGAAGGCAGGTGAGACCGGCATCGAGAGAACCTGAGAGGGAGATCAGGTTCACTGACACTAAATATGTTTTCCACATATTGTATTTCTGAAGTGTTTTGTGTTGTTGTATCTGTAGTTTGGACTCATTTGAGTCTCTTTTAGTAGAAATCTTTACCTAAATTCCGGCTGACCGCCTGTGTATAAAATGCAAATGAGCTCTATGAACAGGTTTAATAGTATTTTTATTAGAGAAGTCAATTAAAATCAGCCTGGTTTATTGTCCTTGTAAAAGAAACGATGTGTAAAATCCTCTCTTGCTTTGTGTGATGATGAAGCAAGAGGCACATTAATGTAACAGTTGTCTGTTGTTGCCAATATAAAAAAGTGGGTGGAGCCTCAGAACAGCATTGTTCTGTGTAACTTCATTAAAAATTCACCACATAACCAGCTCAGCGTTGTGTGAAGGGGAAGAATCTGCGGCTCATACTTGTGTTAGAATGAACAGAGTTAACTGCTGGTTCTCTTTACTGGTTCTTCTTTCAGTCTCTAGCGCTGCTCTGGCAGGTAGGAGCTCAAAGATCTTAACATTAATGGAAATCTGTACTTTAGAAAATGCTGTTTATGCAAATGTACCTGTTGACTTTCGTTATCTATCCCCTTTCCTTCTTAATTAGATTCTATATTTCATCAAATATATTGATCCAAAGTAATTTAACGCTTTTTAAATGGGACTTAACTGACACTAAAATGGTAAAAATGCCTGTTAATAATCTGTATTTGCATCTGTTAACTATAAACATCAGATCGTTTCACTTTAAGGCAGCGTTTCCCAGAACTCAGCAAGACAACAGTTTACTAATCCCAACAAGTAGCCATGACAGGCAAGAACAGATTTATTTCCAATTTACAACAAACAAACAAATAAATACTCACAGTCTTTGATCTCCAAGAACAACAGTAAAACCTCCACTGGCATTATCATTTGTGCCAATTCTTTTAACTATTTATACAGCATTTTTTATGCTCCTGAAATGCGCCCAAAGTGCGTTAGAGTTTATTTAAAGACCCCCTGCACTCTTTTATTATGACTATATATTGCTTTTTGTGTTCAATGTTACCATAATGCAAGTTCACACTGTTCCATTAATGAAGGCTTTTAATGTATCAGTTTAGCCTATGCTAGTGAGAGGATTATGACAGTCAAAGGACAGCTAATGAACATGCCTGTGCTAATGTAGCTAACTTAATGTCCCTCCTGAAACAGACCACACTGACCAGCATGAATTCCATGCTGGTCTAAGCGGGTTATACTAGACTGGTGCTGGTTTAGCTGGTCACCCAGCATGGTGACCAGAGTACGCTGGTTTTAGTGGTGATTAGCATAACAGCTATTGATAACAAGCTGTCGCTGTTGTTGGAACAAAACCTTGCATCTCCAAAATCGTAACTTTACAGGACAAGGAAAAAACCTTCTTTACTGTCAATGTAAGTCAATGGAACCAGACCCCAAGTCATTTCTGGCCATTTCTTTTGGTCCGTTCATCAGGCTACTTTTTGAATAAGGCATAACACAGGACAGCCAATCAGAACAGAGCTCATTTACATGTCGCTGTTGTCAGTGCAAAACCTCGTATCTCCAAAATGGTAACTTTACAGGAGAAGGAAAAAAAAAAAAACTACTTTACTTTTAATGTAAGTCAATGAAACCAGACATTTTTCCAAGTAATTTTGGGCCGTTTTATTTAGTCCATTCATCATGAAATTTACACACAATGTAAAGAGCAACAGACATTTTCAAATTATGTAAAAAACTGAAAAACAGCAACAGTGTAGATTAGACGTTTCGTCCTGATGGCAGTGAATGCTGGTTTTGCTGGTGATCAGCTATGCTGGTCTATGCTGGCTTTTCTAGCAGGAGTTTGAGACGCTGACTGTGCGGTTGGCAGTTAGCTAAAGTAGATAAATGATGGCGGCATTGTGCAAATTAAATTTATGTTCTATCTATCTGATAATCTATCAATTATAGTGTGTAGACCTGCTAGCCTCCTGGCTAAGCTATTATCTTCTTAGTAGCAGGTATAGCAACAGATTAGCATGCTGACAGCTTCACACACCACAGCACTGCTTTTGGTTTGGGCAGAGTGCTCCACTGATACACGCTTAGAGGACAGAGACTCACGTCTGACGGATTCACCGATGCTGTTGTGGAGCTGTTAGCTTAGCTACTCTTGCTCCATTATAACATCCTCGTTAGCACTAAAGGCTAGTGTTAAAAAAAAAGAAAGAAAAGAGCTGTTAGCCTGCCAAGATTAACTAGCATCTCTGCTGAAAAAAAGCACAGACCAGCATGCAATCCAGCTACATAACCAGAATGAACTCTGATAATCTAATGAAAAGCATGAATTTTCTCAGCATCTTGAAAAGCATGTGTCTTGTTTTGGATGTGTTTTTCAAGTGATAATATCAGAAACATCGGATGTACGAGATGGAGGCACAAGAACGCCACCACAATGCTATATTTACTAGTGAGAAACTCGGATTTTTCAGTGAACCCCGAGTTTCTGAGTTGGGGGCGTCAACAAAAAAGTAATCATAGCCGCTGATAAACTGAATGTATTTCGATTAATCAGCCACAACCTTAACACTGCAGGCTAAAACCATCCACACATGGAAACATGTATATGAGCACGTTATGTGACACATCTAACTGCATAAAAACATTATATATATCCTCATAAACATACTCTGCTCTTCACTTTGTTGTAGTAATGCAAAATACACACACTCTCTTTAATGACAGAAAAACAAAGGTAAACCAGAAACACTATTTCCAGGGTATCTGTCTCATTTTCAACCAAAAACACTTGAACACAAATCAAGTTGTACTTCCAAGGAGGACTTGAAGGCAGCAATGCATTGCAGTCCATGTTGAAATACATTCCAAACACTAAATGTATTTCAGAATATATTGCCATATTAGCCAAATATATTTTGAAATACATTTTTAAAATGCATGGGGAAATATTACACATAGAAATGTACCATACAAAAATAAATGCATGTAAATGTATTCATCAAATACATTTGAAAATCTATGAAAATTGCCCAGAGGTGAAGTTAAACCCAGGCCTCGAGGTATGGGAGGCCAAAGAGTTACTGGTTGAACTGGCTGTGAACAGAGGGAGACCTCAATGGCAGAGCACATGGGCCAGCTGGCAGTAAAAAACGAATGAATAGTGTAACAAAAAGTCTAGAAATGCTGGCCCAGATGCCAGCTTAACTAAAACTACTCAAGAGGAAACACCCCACGTAAACTGTGGCCTACAGGGTAACTGACCTGTGTGCAGCGGACTCAGCTCCACAATCACTGAAAAAACTAAACTGAAAGTGGGGCTAGCCAAAGGCTCAAGATAGGGAGGGAAAAAGGAGGAATAACTTGAATCATTTTAGGTTTTGCTTTATTCCCTTTGTCTTCTTTTATTCATTCGTTTCTCTTTTTTTAAATACTTACGCTGTTGTTACAAGAGACTCGAGAGCAAGGCTTAGAGGGATCAGGAGTAAACTCTGAGAGACTCGCGAGCAAATACCCAAATACCAGCTTGATCAAGAAGTGTGTACACATGCCACACAAACTCATGACTGAGCACAGAACAAAGAGCCACTTTTAAGTAGAGCTGAACACAGGTGTGGCTGGTTGTCTCCAATTACCTAGAGGTAGCTCTCTGCTCCCATCTAGTGGTGGCACTGGGTCTGACCACAGGATGGGTGAAAGAGCTCCTGCCTGTGGAAGACTCAGACTGACCTGCCACACTTTACTGTCCAATACCTTTAGATATGAATTTGTGTTCCAGTATCTTAATCTTAAATATGATCAAATGATCCTTTAACAGGACAGAGGCGAGTGTTGTAAGTATTGATACTCTGTGAAAATGCAGTTATGATCTGATATCTTGTTTATGTGAAATACATTGTGTATGAGTCTGACTGCAGACGTACATGGTTAATGTAAAGTACAGTGCAGATCACAGAAATATAGTATAGAAGCATGAACACTTAAAGAACCATTTGCATGCTTAAATAGCTATATATGGACCTTTATTGAACCTTTTTTGAAAATTGTTCTATATAGCGCCAAAAAATTGTTCTTCTCTTGTTACAAGCTTGACTTCGTAACTATAGAAGAATCCCTTTTGGTGCTATATAGAACTTCTCCATCAACCTGAAGAACCATTTTACCATGCAGACAACAATTTAAGCATGCAAATGGTTCTCTATAGAACTCATGGTTCTAATATAACCATTGCTTTCACTAAAGAACCTTTGAAGACCCGTCTTTTCTAACAATGTAGCATCCTCGGTTACACCAAGGTCTTTGAAAAAACTTGAAGGTCAAGGAAAAAGTCTACAACCTTAATTTGAGCAGACACAGGACCCAACAGCAACACTTCTGCTTTATCCGAGTTTTGCGAGAGGAAGTTCTTGGTCATTCAGGCTCTTCTGCCTTTAACATAATCTTCATTATGTGTAACTGTGTAACTGTATCTGGCTGAGCTGACGCGTATAACGTATCATTAGCATAAAAGTGAAAGGCAACACTGAAGCTAAAGAATTGTGTCCTGGAGGCTGCAAATAAAGAAGAACAATGACCCTAAAATAGAGCCTTGTGGGACACCATATTGCGTTCTCTGTTTGGAAAACTCCCCATTTACACTGACTGTTAGTATAATAAGACTTAAACCAAGCAAGAAACCAAACATTCTAAATGAGTATAAAGGTTGTATTTGAAGACAGTGACATATCTAGGAGGCATAGTGTGACATTTCTGTCACTCCCTAACTAATTGGTTAATTAGTGGATGGCTACTCTATTGTGTAAGACTTTCTGTCCATCTCCTGAAGGCCTAACCTTTATGAAAATGGCTCTAGATAGTACCCAGAAGCGTTGTTCCATTGATATAGACACATTATCTGTATGAAAGAAGCCTGGAAGCACTACGTTTTTTAAGAGTGTACTTAGATATTATGGGAAAAAAAGAATTAATTGGAGATGTTACTAGTGGGTGTTTCAAGACTTTTACCCATTTGGTTCCATCCTTTTATTTAATTTCCAGTCAAAATGGCATTAAGTACAATCTTTTCATTTTCAGCGTCAGAAATAAAATCAGAAAACATACGTACATACATCATCTAAACCGCTTATCCTTCTGGGTCGCGGTGGGGTGCTGGAGCCTATCCCAGCTGTCATTGGGTGGAAGGCAATCAGAAAACATATTTCACCAAAAATGACACAGAAGCCTCAACAGCTAAATCTAATCTCAGCTGTCTGAGTGTCAGTGAGTCACTCTTCACCGTTATTCCAGCTTCCATTCTTTTCAGGAGACTCACTTTCAGCTCCTCTAAGAATCTGCAGACACACCTCCAAAGTTCAGTCTTAGCAGCTGGTTGATCGTTTTCTGAAGTAATCAAACACATTCAGTGGTGTTGAGGTCTGGACTCTGGGGTGGTCAGTCCACTGGTCTGAGAACAACAGCAGCTTCTTTGTTTGATGTGTAGGCCGTGGTCTTCTTAGTGGTGTGCTTGGGGTCTTTATCTTGCCGCAGAATTAAATTTCATCCCATTCAAACATTTTCCAGAGGGCATTGCATGATGTATTAAAATTAGTTTTTACTTGAAAGCAGATCACCAAGTCCAGATGTTGTTATAAATCCCCAAACCTGCTCTGATCCTCCACCAGGCTTGACTGAAGGCTAGAAGAGTCTGTGTTCACACTGCTGACACTGTACTGTTAACATTTCAGACATTCTTCCTCTCTTACAGGTTCTCACTCTTTGGGGTTGCTTTCAACTTACATTAAAGGAGAGACGCCATTTCCTGAATTCAGTTTCACCCTGATGTTGGACGACATCACCGTTGGATACTTTGATTCTGAGAGGAAGACCTTTACTCCCCGAGGTCTTGATCAAGAACAGGAGGACGATGGTGTGGTCAACCCAGATCATGTCAAGACCATAAGTTACTCCATTCATGGTCATCTTGAGGAAACCTGTTTATATGTAAAATATGATTTAAACTATACTGAAAGTAAGTGCCGTAGTTTTTGTACAAACATTTCTGTTACAGTAATATTAACACACTAAAAACTAGTGGAATTCCCTTCCTGACTGTCTCAGGGCTCCACAGACACTGAGGTCTGTTAAAACAAGCTTGAAGGCAATTTTATTTAGAAAGAGCTTCTCTTAAAATTTATAATGGATTGCTAATTTTATTATTTACTTATTTGTTTTTATGTATTATTATTATTATTATTATTATTATTATTAATGTAATATGTCTTTTCTAAATGTTATGTTTTTATAATTTTATTAAATTTACCTTTGCGGCACCTTGAGATTTTCACCTAAATGCAAGTTGAATTATAAATAAAATGCATTATTATTATTATTATTATCATCATCATCATCATCATCATCGTTTACCGCTTAGTCCAGATAGGGTCGCGGTATTATTTATTATTATTATTATTATTATTATTATAGTAGTAGTAGTTGAGTAATTCATATTAAATATTGAGTAATTATGCAGATATTGAATAATTCATAGTAGATACTGAATAATTGACCTCAATAGCAGTGAACAAATATCAGGGATGCTGGACAGGGTCAGTTTTGTGCTGATTTTCTCATTTATTTCCATTTTAGATATTTACGTTCTACAGAGACTGGTCGTATGTGAACTGATGGAGAATGACCAGCCTGGACAAATGATCACCAAGACTGCAATCGGAGGCTCAACAGTGGACGAACTGCGTTTTCATGAAAGCAAATTTACATATCAAGGTGTTTTAAACATCACAGCACAAAGACTGACACCACTTCTGGATGTAGCTCAGTGGGATTATGAACATCTGTACTATCCAGTGTGCATTAAAACCCTTAGAGGTTACCTTAGAAAGAGAAGCAGTCAGGTGAAGAGGAGAGGTAAGATACTCTTCTACAGGTCTGACAGATACTTGCTTTTCTGTCCATACGCAAGACGTTGTTGTGAAGCAATGTATAAACATGCCACAAGTTTGAAACAAAGATCTGAAATGTGTGTAATTTGGCACAAATTTGTGGCATGCTTATTAAAAACAAATAGCTATTCAGATATAAACTGTCTACACACTAAAAGACTTCTGCAAAAATGAAAACTCTAAGAAGTGAATTGTTGGTAAATTACTCATTATGGAACAATTTGGTGTTTTTCCCCTTAAGTGTAAACTGTAAGTCTGAAATACTGAAAAATCTCAGTTACTGAACAATTAAACCTACACAACCAGCATACATAGAGTGAAACTCACAGTATCTAAGAACTATTAAAATATATAACGTAATTAAATATTGTCTGAACTGTGCTAAACCTCATCACTATATCTCCTCTCCTGTTAATACTCACTGTGCAATATATCATCATAACCTGCTGCTGTAATGACTCTCACTGTGCACTTTACACTGTAATATCACTGCAACTCCTAGCTGTGTCTAGACTCATTGTGCATTAGTCTACCTCGTACCACTCAGCGCCTGCTCTCATGTAAATACAACAAATCTCATATGGTATGTAAATATGCAAATAGATATGCTTTATTTCTACCCTTATACTTAACTTATGTCTATTTTTATTTCTATTTTTTATTTTCTGCATAGTATATGTAAGTTTATGTGCAATTATGTCTTGCTACTGAAACACTGCAAAATCTATGTATCAGTCTCTGTCCATCCATCAGTCTGTCTGTCCATCCATCAGTCTATCTATCTATCTATCTATCTATCTATCTATCTATCTATCTATCTATCTATCTATCCATCCATCCATCCATCCATCCATCCATCCAATTACTAAATGTAAAGCAATGGCTCATTCCAAAAAAGTCAAATCCCTTTTACTTTGAGGTTTGAAGTTTTAATTTTAGCTCTGGAGCCACGAGGCTAATGTAGGTAACAAGCACTGGAAGCTTATACCCCACCAGTTAGCATGACACTCTAAATCATCACACACTCATCTCAAACCATGTGAAGTTGTTAAAGCTGCACTCTGTACGTTTTGGGGATTTGGAGACCTCTCTGGTGGAAGTGTGTAACTGCACTCCCAACGTGCGAAGAACATTTTACAGAGCGACTCACAGCAGCGCATGCTCATCATATTTTAGCCCATATATATTCTTCTCTCTCAGTAATGATACTGCTTTACATTTTAAGTAAAAATCTTACATAATGCAGCTTTATGTAATCACTAGTAGACTTGAATGTGTGGTATTTGACACTGTATGAACCACCGTTATCTATAAACGTGGATTAAAGTACATTAGCATAGCTAAACACAGTAACAGCCTTAATTATGTCCACTTCAGTCCATATTTATTGATAATGAGTCACAGTGTCAGAAACCACATAGTCAAGTCTATTAGAGACACTGAACAGCTCCACATGCTTTAACACATTAGCTAAACTGCAGAAACCAAGTATTCTTGTCTAATTTGGGGACAACAGTGTCAAATTAAGATCATTTTTGAGACCCGAAAATGACGTTTTCTCTGATATGGAATTCATGTTCTTCTCCTGCAGTGAAGCCTGTTATGACTAACATGCTCCTTTAGGAATAGTACTTTTTGAAAGATGCATAACCATTTGTTTCATATAATAATACAGTGTGGATTAATTATGAAAAAACAGTATTATTACACGTCTAAACTACATTCCTAATTAAGGATACAAACTCAAATAAAAAAAAAGGTAAATAAAAGTGATTTTAATCTCTGTGTCCAACTATGTTTAGTGTTTTACTTGACTTTTCTTAGCTTTATCTTTCCTCTGTTTGATCTCAGTGCCTTTGTTGAATCTTCCTTGTTTAATCTTGTTATAATTGTAACCTAATTCGGCCCAAAAGCAGAACGGCTTCCTCTTCCTCATGATCTTAGAGAGTTTCTAAGATCTTAGTAGAGTCTCAGTTCCTCTCAGCAGTTCCTCCTCATGCTCATACAATATTTCAGATTGCTTTGTGCACAAGGCCCAGTACAGGTTAGCCAATCAGAACAGAGCTCATTTACATATATATCTAAAGATACATAAATCAGTTTTAAAGGTGCAGTAACTGTACCTTTAAACCTGCCTGTTTAATTCTAAGGCATAAAGAGAGGTTAGAAAATGGTCATATAGAAATTAATTATGACTGTTTTTTATACAGAACCACACAAATGTTTAAAGAGGATCACATCGGAAAAATAAAATACAAAAAAAATGTGGAATGTCGGCATTTTAAGGCGATTTTCAGGAAAACAGTGAATTTGTCAGGTGTTTCTGGGTCTGAGGTTAATTGAAAGTGGTGTAATTAAATTCTGGACATTTTCAGAATTGGGTTTAAGTGCTAAGTCTTGAGGTAGAAAGTGATTGACAGTGGAGTGTAAATTTAAATATTTGATTACTAATGTGCTTGGGGAATTTTGGCTATTCAACAAAACCTAAATAAAAAGCAGAGAAGCAGATGAAACCAGGTGCTGCTGTTCACCAGGGTTCATACTGCACATCATTTACTGGTGATGTATAATTGTATATATGCATAAATGATGAAATGATAACATTAACGATCAATGATCGTTTGTTGGAGAGAAGTTAATGTGTGAGTCATTAACCTGATTATAAAATGAAGAAGAATAAAAGTCCAACCAAATACTAATGATTACCTGGTAATGCTGATGTCTGATGTCTGTATCTCAGCTATGTAATACTAGATAAGACCAAAGCCGTTAGATAAGGCTACAATAGCTGTGGAGGTTTTATGGGCTACGTTTATTTGGGCTGATACTGAGTCACTGTAAAAGCTGATAATTGATCAGCTGATATCCATTCAGAGGACACTGAACCATGTGCTGCTGGCCTTTTCTGTTAAAGACGCACAGACAAATTCAAACACAGCTACCACTGTAAAACAGTTTAGTCTATTAAAGCAGAATTCCACCCATTTTTCAAACTTTCTCCATAATTCAGTGTGTGAGATGTAAACAGAGTGACTCAGAGTGGTTTGGTGTGAAATGGTTCAGATGTCTTTACAGTGGTGGTGATAGGAACCAGGGGTCGCCATGACTACAACACAAATATAGACATTTTATTTACTATCCAGAACCACCAGTGAACCTACACGAGTCTTCTGAGTTTATATGGAATGTTGATGATGGAAAATAGTGGAAAATCTGAAATGATAAGTTTTCTTTGGGGACCATTTTGCTCACCATGAATGGATTTTCCAACAGAGAGCAGAAACAGATTAAGCTCAAATAAACAAACATCACTCACTGCCGCCCTCTAAAGACATTATTAACAAACATCAAGTAAGCAAATATTACTTGCTGCCCCCACTGAAAGGTATTTTTTATTCAGACCATATTTTATTAACCTTATATTGCTAAATTACTTGTTTTTTTTCATTGTGTATACTCCCCCACTACTTTATGTTGTGAATTGAAATTCATTAGTGTGTACACAGCATGTATAATCTCTATAGAAAAGCACTGACTGATAAAACTGGACACTTCAATGCAGCCGCACATGAGCCTAAGGTCACCTTGCCCAAAACCAAGTGTGGGCTAGAGGGGTATAAAACCCCCTAGCATTGGGCTGTGGAGCAGTGGAACTGTGTTCTCTGGAGTGATGGAGCTCCATCCAGTTGGAGTTGGAGTTCTAGTTGGAGATCTAGAACTGACCATCCAATATCAGTACCTGATCTCACTAATGCTCAATCAAATCCTCACAGCAATGTTCCAACATCTAGAGCCTTCCCAGAAGAGCAGAGGCTGTTACTGCAGCGCAAACTCACTATTAACTATTAACACCATTCATTTCAGAAGAAATAGGTGTCTACAAACTTTTGGACAGTAGTGTAGCTTCTCCACTCCATCCTACAGAGTGGGTAAGAGAGCACCAGCTGCCCTCTGGAACTGGGGTCAGTCTGTGCTAATGGATGAGTTATTAAAGCTGGTGGGTGGAGAATCAGCACTGGGCCTGAATAAGAAGCTGGGCAGATACCTTCTCCAGGTGCTCACGCTGTTCCTGCCAGTCCTCGTCCAGCATGGCGAAAGGTTTCTACATCAGCAAGACTGTTGGGGTGGTCGGAATCGTGGTGGGGGCTGCAGCGGTGACCACCATCATCGCTCTGTCTGTGCTCTACTCTCAGGAGAAAGCCAAAAACAATGAGGTGAAACCAACTGAAGGAACGACAACAACAACCACAACCACAACCACAACCACAACCACAAACACAACAACAGCTGCACCAACAACCGCACCATCCACTGAGCCATGGGACAGCTATCGTCTCCCTGACACTCTTCTTCCAGACACCTACGATGTCACCCTGTGGCCGCAGCTCAAACCTGACGACCGCGGCATCTACATCTTCACTGGAAACTCCAGCGTGGTCTTTAAGTGCGTGAAGGAAACTGACCTGATCCTCATTCACTCCAACAAGCTGAACCTGACCGCAGCCCCTACTCTGACCGCGCTCGGCAGCACACCTGCACCGACCATAAGGGACCACTGGATGCAGGTGACCACTCAGTATCTTGTAATTCGGTTAAATGACAAATTAAAAGTGGGAGAATCCTACAAGGTCTTCACTGAGTTCTTGGGGGAGCTCGCTGATGACCTGAGTGGATTTTACAGAGCGTATACCAGGAGGATGGACAGGAGAAGTAAGTTTTACAGCTGCTCTTCACTGCTGGTTTTAGTCTTTCAGTGGTGAAGAACCTTTACATTATGAGGTTCTTCAAGCTTTGTAAAGGTTCTTCACTCACACATCTCATTTAGAGTAATGGTTTTCTAAAGCAGTGGCTCTCAAACTGGCCCTCAGGAACCCTCAGATGGTCCTCACTTTTGCTCCAACCCAGCTTGCAATGCATATGGATAGAGCAAAAATGTGGATCGTCTCGGAGCCCCTGACGTCCCAGACGTCGAGAATGACAATCTGCAAATGTTATTGCACAGCTTCTTAATATTTGATCAACTTAAAAAATAGCAGTTTTGCATTGTGCAAAAGTTTCAGTACTTAGCAACACTCCCCTTACAATTTTGTTTAGCTGGCTATCAGTCTTTCTACTCTTGTTTGAGGATTTTGAAGTATAGATCCACCCTCATGCTTAACAGTTGGCAAGGTTGTTCCCATGGTTGTTGAATGTCACGGTTTCAAGAGTCAGATAATTAATTATGCTCCAGTCATAATTGTCATCAGCTGACGATTCCTTATGACACTTATTGACCTCCTTAAACAGACTCTAGCAAATTATATTATGGGACTTTACAAACTGAAGGGGTGTCAAACTTTGGCATTTAACATCCAACTTAATTTCCAACAATTGCAGAAAAATTATAGCCAGGTTTACCATTAAGTACTGAAGCATGTATATATTGAAGTACAGCTGAAGATGTGAGCAGTGAATATATATGTGTATAATTATATATAATATGTATATTTGAAATGGACTGGTGACCTGTCCAGGGTGTTTCCTGCTTTCTGCCCAATGCCCGATTTTCTGCTGTTGGGCCAAATGGTTCTCCGGGCCATACTGGGCCGTTCCATGCTGGTCCGGACTCGTGAGATCTGTTATGGTTTCTGTTTCCATCTGTTGCACCGCTAAATCAGAACCAGGAAATACCCAAGAAAAGTACACAAATGAATGGCTAACTGCTAACAGGCTAATAGCCACACACTCCACCCACAACAAAACATGTTTGATTCCGTCTGTCACTCCATCTCCAGTCTCTCTCTCTCAGCTGTTCTCATCTTCTTTATCCTCTAAACTGGTTATTTGAGCATCTGCTACTGAAACACTGTAACTAGCTACATTAGCATTAGCGTTGGCTGGCACAGTACAGCTCAAAGCACCACAGGACAATTCTATGTCTATCTTTCTGTCATTTCAACAGCAGTCATTTGAATTTGTGCTCTCAGATACGAGTCTTTTTTAAACGGGTGTTTTAAATCCTCGGTTCGCTGGAACTGAGCCCGTACTGCAGTGGGAGGCACCGTGCACTCGCGTTAGCTTTTAGCCTAGCAGGCTGAAGCTTAAAGCACTACAGAACAGCTTTCTGTCACTCAACCATCAATCAGTCGACTTTGCTCTCACTGTTGTAAGGTTTTTATCACCTATACTTGTGATAGCAGAGCACTGGTTAGTCCTGCACTGGGGTGTTTGGATCTCTTCAGCTATGCTAAGTGAACTTGAAGAGGGGAGCCCGCTAGCATTAGCTTAGCTCAGGCGCTCCAGCTCCAAGAACAGGTTTAATTTCATCTTTCTGTCCCTCTAATCAGCCACTTGACTTCGCTTCCTCAGAGTTGAGCCATTATCATCCAAACATGTGTCAGTAAAGCTTTTATTAGTCAGAATCGAACCTGTTCTGTAGTGAGCAGAGCTGGCAGCAGGACGCCGTGGTACAATACTGACATTAACATAGAACCAATCAGTGAAAAGCTACATTGTTATGTCATCCCACTGAACAGTTCTGCGGCCCCAAGTATGGTTAGCTAAGCGTGCCGGAAAAGCGTTCCTTTTTGAACCGTGTCCGTACGGAAACGCCACTGGAACGGTTACCCTCCGTGCTCAGAACC